CTCCCCTTCCCTCTCTCCTCCTCCCTCGCCTCCTCACCTGCAGCTTCTGTGACTTCATCATCGAGCTTCTAAGCAGATGAAGCTTCCTCGCCACAAGGTCTCGCGATTGCGGGTCCCTCGTCACGCGGTCCTCGCACACCCAGCCCCTCCACGCACCCCGCTCTCCCTCTCCTTCCCTTTCTCCCATCCCTCCTCACCCCCCTCCCCCTCCCCTTCGTCCTCCTCCCTTTTTCCCTCTCCCTCCCCTTCTTCCTCCTCCCCCTCTACCTGCAGCTTCTTGATCGTCGTGCTCAGCTTCGCCACGTTCTTCCCCTGTCAAGCTCACTTCAGTCCTCGTCCCTCTTGACGCCTTCGCCTCACCTGCTTCTGGTTGGCCAGCAGCAGGTCCTGCAGGTAGCTGTTGATCCCTCCCGCTGTCGCATCAATCTCAAGCGTACTTTGTTCAGCCTTTCCTCGCAGCATCTGACCGTCTCTTGTCAATAGGGGAAGGGGGCAGCTTCAGTCACCTGGTTCTTGGACTTGTACGAGATGATTCCGTCCCACGTGCTGTGCTCGGTGGGTTCGGGGGGATGAGCCCATTCGAGGTTGGGCATCCGCTGAGACTCTTCGGCTCCCCACGAGGTGATTTCATTGTAGGAGAAGGTCTCGTTCACTGGGTGAAAGACTGGATCTCCGATACAAGAGCAGCGAGGACCCTGCAGCCATCACTCACTCCCTCAGGCACGAGCCCGTCGCCTCTCCTCCCTCCTCACCTTGTCCTCGTCGGTGAAGCCAGAGCATGTGCAACCGTCGATACTGTCAAGCTTCTGCACCTTCACTCCCTGCATCACTATCACTCCCCCTTCTCGCTCTCTAGTCCTCCACATTCTTTTCCCTCCTCCCTCTCCTTTTGTTCATTTTTCAGACTCCTCCTGCCCACTTTATCCTTGAAAGATAGTTCCAAACTCCCAACGCAACTCAGCTCCATCCCATTAGCCTTCCCTATTTTCCCTCCAGCAACGCTTTCCCCACCTCAAGAATGGATGGCCGAGCTTTGGTCTGATCAACGAAAGGTAAGTAGATGACATTTAACTTCCATGTGAATACATCATCCACCCAGCACAAGGCCATCCCCTTCCCCCCCCCCTCCCCAACGATCTTATCCTCCCCTTACCTCCTCCTCGTCCAGCTCCGGGATCTCCACACGATCAACCTCCGTCAGCACTCCCTGCTCGCACCCCGTGTCAAGTCCCTCCGCCCCTCCTCCCCGTCCTCCCCCTTCCTCCCCCTCCTCTCGCGTGCGTCAGTGCAGGGTGTTGGTGTCATCGAGCTCGCGCTCGCGTCCATGCTTCTTAGAGGTTTGCATACCATCAACCGCGATCATGCCCCCTCCTACCCTCCCGTCTCTCCTCCTCTCCCCTCCTCCCGTTAGGCCCCCCCCCCTCCT